ACCAACTTTATAATTATAAGCAGGAATAGTCCAAAATGTCCCTTAAAACATTTAAAGAAATCCGACCCAGCCTGGGATTACGCAGCCTGTGACGGGCCGTCGTGCCTGCGACGGTCCGTCCTGCTGGATCGTCACAGAGTTCAGAGACTAAATTTCTGTGAAAGATGTGTGACGGTCCGTCGTGCCCACGACGGTCCGTCCTGCCATTCCGTTACGAAGTTCAGAGAGTCGATTTCAGTACCCAAATTTCAGAATTCTAAGTGTTTTGGAACGAGACCCCCTCGACGGTCCGTCATGCCCATGACGGTCCGTCGTGGGATCCGTCGTCTCAGCCAGTTTTTCCAGAAATAAAATCTACTGCTCAAAACGACTAAACAGGTCGTTACAGTTATTTACATAATTCACTTGAATATCTCAATTAAGACTTGTATCTATCGTTATTACTTTAAATTGATATACATTTGACATTTTTTTTGACAATCAACCAAAAATTGAAAGTGTGAGATGCACTGCCAATGACATGACATAACAACAAATTAAATTATGACGTGTCATTTAATTTCAAAAGTTATTTAAAAGTATCTTACAAAAAAATATATTTTAAAGTAAAAAATATATTTAAAAGTATCTTACAGTTCATAAGTACGTGGGCTACAAGCTTTGCCGGATCAGTCATCTTTTATTAAAATTATATTTTTTGTATTTTTTAAATTAAATTATAATTTAAAGAGATCATAAATATCGACAAGACATTAGATGGGGTTAATGTTATTACTTATTAATCAAACATACAGATAAAATTATCTATATAATATTTATTAAGTTTGATTTCAAATAAAAATATAAATAGCTAAATAGAAATATTAACCTACTTGTTTTCTAATAATTATAATAAAACACAAAAACTATAATAATATTCCATAAACTATGACTATATAGTGATTTCCTAGAAATTTTTAATCTTATGTTGTGCATATTTTATAAACATAATTTGCATTTAAATTATAATATTTCAAACTTTAATGAGCAAGAAGAAGTATTTGACCAATTTCAAGTAATTTTATAAATTAAGCTATAGATTTAATAAAAATGTTGATCTTACTGTAAATTTTATTATTCAATTATGATATATCGTTAAAGTACACAAACTCCATAATTCTTCAAATTAAACATGCAGTGGTTGAAAGAAAGATAATATAAAAGTTCACATAAAATATTTTAAATTGAAAAAATGGTCCGATACCCATATGAATTATATATATTTTAAAAAAAATTAAATTAAAATTATTTTTTTCAATTTTGTAAGATCATTTGTATAACGTTAGAGGAATATATGATCCACGTTCATAACAGACTGTATATCAGCTCTAAATATGAGGGCTATATTTTCTTTTTAAATTAAAAAGGAAATTTACAAAAATCTCATTAATTTAAGAGCTAATTATTTAGATACACTTTAATTTGTAATATAATATTACGAAGTTTATCAAATTCTAGTGAGCCTAGATAATGGTATCTCTCTCAATTTTAATTTATTTGATATAAATAATAGTACATATATATTATAGATGTATCTGGTTACAAAGTTCATATATGAGATAACAAAAATACACATAAAGCTAAGTTGAACGAAGTATAATATATTAAGTTGTAGCGGTTTGTTCAGTTAACTTATATTTCATCTAGACCAGCTACATGTAAAGGTGATCTCCATATAAGGTTAAATTTAAAACGAGAGAGCTAACGAAAATATTTTTGAATTTAGCGTAAATTATTGGTTTCATTATCATACTATATATTAGTATCCTTAAAACATCATTGTATTTTAATAACTAGTTTTAGATATCCCCGATTCGCCACATGACATAGCAGTGGTCTCAAACTCTTGTAGGAACATGGAACTCTTAATGAAAAGTCAAGAGAAGTATTAAAAAGATCCTAAACTTGACGAGAATTCAGGATTTATTTAATTCATTTACAAGATCGTAAGTGTATTTAAGTTCAACAGAGTCAAGTAAATGACTGTTTTTAAGATTGTCAATAATTCGAAGATGAAATTAATATCTCACGTTAAGTTTAGAAGTGTTTTTAATATCAAAAATATCTTTAAACTTAACTCAAATTAATAATATATCTTCAAACTATTGATTTATTTTGAAAACAAAACTAAACCAAATTAATTCAATTATTTGATCTTTGACTTTAAATTTTTTTCCCAACATTTTGAAATTCAATTTTGTGTACGATTATAGCGTTTTAATGAACCGAACTTTTATTGAGCCTGTAAGAAATAATAAATGAGTTAGAAGATAAAAAAAAGTTTTCATTTGAAATATATTGTCAGTATTCGTTATTAACCTATTTTCATGTATCGTATCCTTAAAAAAAGTTTATTATACAGTACATTTTATTCCACAAATATGATATATCATTTTCCCATATCTTTAAAGCACACACAAACTCCAAAATTCTTTAAAACTATTAAACAGAGAGTGGTTGAAAGAAACAGGTGAGACAAGTAATAATTGTTCTAAGTGTCTTTTAAGTTCACATAAAATATTTTAAATACAAAGAAAATTATAGAAATTTCACCGGTTCATAAATTAATTATTTAAATATATTTCAGTTTATAATAGTATTAAATTTTTATGTGTTCAAAGACATCTATCTCAGATACATGAGGTCAAGATTGAGTTTAATTTATCATAGTTACATTATACCAAAATGGATTCGCATATATTTGGAATACATAGACAAATCTTGTTAGCCTTCTCCGACTCCCTCCATATTATTTGTCATTGTCCTATCTTCCTCCCCATCTTGCTCGTCTCTATCTATTTTAGTGTAACTGGTACCAAAAATACTTATATCTAGGTGTATCTTCTTTAATATATGATAGTAAACTCTTAATTAGTAAGTTCGCTTGTCTCGCTTGTCTCTCTCTATTTTAGTGTAATTTGATATGTAGGTGTATCTTCTTCAATATATATGATAGTAAACTCTTAATTAGTGATAAAATTTGTAATTGCTTGAAAGTATATGAGTAGTTTGATCTAAATAGGAGAGAGAATTTTTTTTTTAATACTTCTTCTATTTTTATTTATATGTCGTTCTTACTAAAAGTAAATGTTCCTTAAATTTTCTTTGAGAGTTATTAGCCTTGAAAGTATAAATTTGACTAATATAAAAAAAAATTATTAATTTATGTTCATTAGTCAATTTAGTTAATCAAAATAAACCCGTTTCATTAACATATTAGAAATGATTCAAAAATTTCTTTCTTTCACCCCTTAGATAAAAGACGCCCTTCATAAATTGTACTTTATTCAAATTTGAAGGCTAAAATGAAGCTTGAAAATATTTTAGCAAAAAATATAGTCATATGAAATACTAGTATTAATTAGTTCATAACATATTTTATTTAGTTGATTAACATATTTTAGGTAGAGGGCAAATTTGAATTATTTATAATAGGTCAAAGGGCAACAATTTTTGTTCATACGTAGAAGGACAGTTTTGAACCATTTTCATATGTTAAGGACATCTTTTTATCTTATAAGTAGAGTAATTTTCTTAGATAGTCACTCATGTTTGAGAAATTATCTAGGAATATCACTTATGTTTGTTTTAGAATTATATGATCACTCAACTTTACCTATTTTTCTCAAACTATACTTGACACAAATATTATATTATCTCTCTCGTATTAGGATATTATGTCACATTATTTATTTTTTTACTATTAAAAAAATATGCTTTAAACCTATTCAAACATTAGGTTGAAATATGTTTTTTTTTTTAAAGAAAAATATTGTTTTCTATTTATGTTTTTTAAAAATATTTTATTTTTTTAGATATATAAAGAAAATCTTAAAAATGAATGAAAAAAAAAAGTATCTCATTTCCATAACTAATTACTAATGAACTGTTTTAACTATTTTATAAAAATAAATTTTTTAATTTTTTAATGGTATTTATTATTTTTTACTATAAGTTTTTAAATTAATTTTAAAATAATAATTATAGTTTTTCTATGGTGCATTAGATATTTCTACTTCCTTTTTGTTGGAGTATTCTCTAAAATCACTGAAAGTGTGATAAATATAAATGGACATTGCAATTTCTTTTATAAAATAATTTACCGTTTTCATTTTTTAACCTTAAAAATTAAAATTTGAAGCATTTAAAGATCTTTCATCTTTTTTTTCTCCATAATAGTCTTTATTGTTTTTATAAAAAAAAAGTTCGATTTTATTTTTTTCCTTTAAAATTGAAATTAGAGGATCATCCATTTTTTGCCGTTACGGTTTTTTTAAACGAAAGAACTTTTATTTTCTATTAAAAATAACTATATTAAAATTCCTGTTTTTTTAATTATATTCTTAGAGCATATTTAAAATGCTTTTTGAAAAATTAAATTCTTAAATATTTGTGGTGCTGACATGTGACACTTTTTACTTCTCCTACAATATAGAGATAGTTTTTTAAAAAAAAAAATAGATAAATCCACATATTATACCAGTAAAAAAATTACGTTAAAAACTGTAATATGAGCTCCTCCGATTCTTCAAGAAAATATGTGGGTTCCTTCGGTTCTTTAAAAGAATTAGAAAAATATTAATAATAAATTAAAAAATGTGACATGTCACCCTAGTAGGAGAGAAATAATGTATTTTCTTGTGTCAAGTATATTTTGAGGAAAATAGGCAAAGTTGAATGATATTGTAATCCTAAAACAAACATAAGGAATCTAGGGAAATTACTCCTTATAAATGGAAGGAAGACATTTCTTAATCGTTTCTAATGTGTTAGGGACATTTTCAAACCTTTTCTCATTTATATATTTTTAATTAATTATATTTAAATATTTTTGAATACAAATATTTTAAATCAATAAACATGTCTAATTATCCCTAGATAATTGCGAGTCTATAATTCATCTGGACTAGTAAAATTATCGACCTACAAAGAAATTGAGTGACAAAAATAATAACACGCACTTTTAAATAAGCATAAACATAAATATTGAAATTGAACTAATAATTAAAGAAAAAAATATATTCCGTACACTCCACAATGATCAAAGCCAATACTTGCATTATATATTTTACTCTAATATATTCTACCAAACGATCGATCTTTTTCTATTTAGAAGCAACAAATAGGTCCGAGAGTGTTTCCATCTGGCTAAGATCCACGGGGAACTCATCAATTTCATCGGACCATGGATTTACCTCATCGCGGTCAATTGATCGGTTTGCCCTCCAAATAACACTAGTACATTTGAAACCCGACCCGAATGCTATTTGCCATAATGTGTCTCCTTTTCTGACCCTACCTTTTGCTTCAACATAAGCTACTTCATACCACACCGAACATGTGGATGTGTTACCGAACCTATATAGAGTCATTCTAGAAGCTTCCATTTGTTCGTCGCTAAACCCTAATTTTTTCTGCAAATCATCCAACACCGGTTTACCCCCGACGTGTGGGAAGAAATGATTGACGGTTTTGGAGAAATCAGGATTATAAGGTCGATCTACGTTGCTTTTGATCATATGAAAGTATTGTGCTATAAGATTTACCAAGTAACGTAATTTTTCAGATAGAGAAAGGACTAGTGGAGCTATGGTGGATATATTTAATCGAATGGTATTCATTGCTGCGTACAATAGATCTTTGTTGATTGTGATACCTCGATGTCCTTCCACGTCTTCTTCCATGAAAATACAGTTGTAGGATCGATCATCGTTCGATGTTTGCGATCGCACGGTGTGGATGAGCTCATACTTCGATGTATTCAGATCAGACGGTTTGTTGGAGAGGAGCAGAGCTACTGCACCCACACGGAATATGCAATTACTCAACAATTTTGACCGGTCATTCCCTTTGTATACATTTTCTGTAATGCTATCACTAGTCACTACTAGTGCACAGGAATTATCATGCACCTGCACAATAATATCGTAAGTTTAATAATAACAACAACAGATAATACGATAATCGAATAAAAAAATTAGGTGTAGCATGTTAATTACCTTAAGCAAATTTTGGACAAGGCCTAAGGCAACAAGGCCAGCAGTGCATCCCATTCCAGTAATATTATATGTATGTATATCATGTCTAAGGTTGTAACGCTTCACTATGACACTAGACAAAGATGGCATAATATTGTATACGCCACAAACAGTAACCAATATGTCAATATCTTCACATTGTACTCCAGTTTTCAGTAAAAGCTCATCTATGGATCCGAATATTGCCATCTCCACTTCTTCCTTAGCCGCTTTCGCGCTCATATCTGGAGGTTCTTTTAACAAACCTTTAGAAAGGTACGTTTTCTCACCTAAACCTACTCGTTGCAAGATCCTGTCCATGAACTCTAATGTGTTTTTGTTAGAATTTAAACTTCTAGAAGATTTTTCAATAAAGGTTTGTCTACAAATTTGTTGATCTTTTGGGGGTCTGTAACATGCAAAATCTACTAGGAAAACTCTTTGACGCCTCATGATTTTGCACCAAAATAATACTAGTATTAAAGATGGCACAAAAATGGGAAAGAGGTTGCTAGGGTGTAACAACTCCATGGTGCCAATTCTATTGAGCAGAGCTAGCTTGAGAAGGATGTCCACTTCTCTAATTTCACTTCTATATATAACAAGGTTCGTTTGGTATGTGAGATAAAGAGTTAAGTTGAGAGAAAGAATTTTTTTTAGTTAACAAATAATAATAGGGAAAAATTGAATAAAATAACAAACTATTAATTCAAAATAAATGTTATAACCACAATTTTATTTAATTTTAACTTGGAGCAAACAATTTGTCATTCGTCTCTCTCTCCTGAATCTCGTTCTCCACTCTGTCTCGCCTCTCTCACTCTATACAAACAAAAATGTATGAATTGTGTTTGTATAAAACGAGATAGAACTGTATATAGAAATACAAATACATATTTTTTCATCCTATGCACTTATAATTTTACAAATACAAATTTTCTCTTGCTCAATTTTATTTTGTCTTTCTCGCCTTATACAAACGCAAATTATACAAAAATACAATGTATAATGTGCGTTATACAAAGAGAGAGAGAAATTTGATATACAAATACATTTATTTTAACTCAATTCAATTGTATATAAATTCAAATTTTATGCAAATATACAAACACAAATAACATATACATATACGAATTGGACTTTCATAGGTACAGACGCTCGATTTATATAAATAAGATGCATTCGATTTTATACAATCAGAATCTATACAAATATCCATAACAAACTATACAAATAACAAAATTATAATTATAAAACGCTAATATAATTTTTATATTTGCTAAACCTAAAATAAATGAATAAATCTTTTGTCAAACGAAAATAACATAAATAAGTCGAGCTTGTTCATAACATTAAAGTCTAAAGATGAAGGAACGAGGACGGTTGGTAAAGGTAATGTAGTGGCTGTGTAAATAATTTAATATAATTTTTTAATAATTGATAATCTAAAATATTTTGTATATATTTATGTTGCACAAATTTTATCTGTCAAAATTCTTGTTCACTTCTTTGAACTCTATATCAAATTAAGATCATAACAAAAACGTGAAAACAAACGAAAAAGTAAATTAGATATGCGTCATATAATATCTTAAAATGTAAATTATGATTCGCTCGCTGCGTATACATAATTTTATGACGAATGAGACATATCATATCATGTCATAAATGTGTGTGGTACCTTTTATTGACAATTTGATTAAGCACATATATGGGTCTCACAGAACAAAACTTCTCATCTAGAAACTGGATGCCCATTTCTCTATTTAATAGGTGCACAAGTAAATCGAGTGGGTAAAAATATCTCAAAATCAAGTTAATTTAGTTTTTTGATTTTGATTCTTCATATTTTTCTTTTGATATTGGTGTTATTTTTTTTCTCCAAAAGTTTGATTTATCAAATTTCTTCGATTTGATATTAGATGTAAGGATCTCAAAATTTTGATTCACCAAAGAATTAAATTTTTATTTTTAAAAAATAAAAATTATTTCTGGCATTCTCTTAACTAAAAATAAGAATCAACTAACAATTAAATCATTCATGAAGAACTTAAACATATTTTTATCATTGTACGTTATGTAAAAGATCCGTTTTCGTCCTTGTTTTTCTCGAGAAGTAATTAGAGGCATAATATTCTTGATAAAGACAAATATAACTTTTAATTAGCATAGTGTTCCACAATAAAACACATAATTCCTTAACATAGTTTTAAATTTTTGAGTATCTTATACTTTGATTTGTTTTTATTTTATTTTTCATTCACATTGAAAAATCGATCAAACTAAACTAAATTGAAGTAGAAAAACTAAATCAAATTAAATTAGTTTAACTTGATATATATTACACGACTTTTTAAAATAAAAAATAAAAAAATCAAATCAAAGAACCGAAGTCCACGGGGATTAATGTAGCAAGATAAGCATGTGATGTGATATTTATTCTCCAAATGTTCTTTGACAAATACGATTACATTTTTTTGACAAATTTGTCATATTATCATATTATGTATACCTTCTAATATACATTGTGAAATACCGTGTAATGTTCTGATACATTTTGTGAAGTATAGGATATACATTTGGCATATTATTTGTGAATTAATAGATACAAATTTAGATACATATCGATCTTATGAGTTAATAGAGATATATTCGAAAATACACGTAATATATAATATTTTCATAATTCGAGTGACTAATTAAAACTTTAGGATATATATTATGAAGAATTAGTCTCAATGTAATCATCTTCAATAATGTATAAAAGGTGAACTAGCTTTGAATTATATCGCTATATTTGTTGTTATTGATTTTTAAGTTGAAAAAACTACATAATTAGACATTATTCACTATTATATATATTATCTATACTTTTAAAATATTACATATCTTACTAATTAAGAGTTCTCTACGTATCTTATACTTGTATACATATACTTTTGCTATCAGACACACAAAAATAAAGAGAGAGAGAGACATTGGAGAAGAAGGCAAGCGAGATTCGTATATATTCAGGCACATGAAAATCACACTAGATATGCACTAGATACATGTATTTGGAAATATTCACATGTATCTGGGATATCAAATACACGTGAGAGTGGCGAGCAAGATGAGAGACATGCCAAAAGGAGACGATTGAGATTTGTTATGTATCCCGTTAATCCACTTGGATACAATATATCTAGAATAAATTACACCTAAATTTGACCTTATACATGTATTTGAACGTATCTGGAGGCACCATAATCTGATAAAATACGTAATATTACACACTAAAATATATCTAAATAATTAGCTCTTAAACTAGTGAAATTTATATAAATTTCCTTTAAAGTTTAACCTAATAAAGCATGATGTTAAGGAGAAAAATCATATGCTTAACGCGATATTAGAAGAAGAATTGTTCTCTCTTTTGATTTAGAGACTTGATAAAAAGTTTACATAATAAAATTATTTTGATCTGAGGCCTACTTCTGTAGGTGTTTGAGTCAATATATATTAATTTTACTTAAAATTTGTACCCACACACACCAATTCCCCTATTTTAATTTATAGGTACACAAATAATTAATATATGATTGATAATATCCTTCACCTTTCAACAATTGTTAGGCATGGTCTACCATGATTAATGTAACATGATCCATGAATGATCCAAATATGGAAACAAGAGCAACATGTATTGAAATACTTATTTTTACTAAAGTCTTTTGGATTGAAAAAAAACAGTACTCTACTATTAAATGTAAGGAGAATTAAATAGCAATTTCAATTAATTTCACATGTACATCCATGTGACACACATATACTAGTTTATAATAAACATTAATTTAGAACCTATTTTAATAAATCTGATCAAATATTAATTATTACCTAAAAAGTACTTTTAAAATTTATTGGTCAAACATGAACTCTTCTAATTAAACGTACAATTTTTTAAAATCAAAATAAATTAAATTTTTAATTTTTAATCAAACAGACTATTAATAAAAAAACGTTTTAATATTCATAAGATGAAAATGGAATGAAAGGCCAACAAAAAATTAATAGTTAGGTAGTAGAAAACTGTGTTATCACTTCTTACCTACTAAACTATAAAAGGATTCATAAATATTTCCATTTTTATGTTAAAAGTAAGAGTACTATACCCAGTTCAAAACATTGCAATTAAATGATAGTATCATCAATAAATAGACAACTACTATGCCCACTTTTATGACTTGTATCTTTTCCTTGTGGTGCTCAATAGTTTATTATTATTCAATGAAAATTAGTATTTAGCGGTAAAAATTTCAAATATTGTTGTAGATATTAAAATTTTGTGGGACTCTGCGTTTAATTCAAGTTGGAACTGTACAAATTGTGTTCAATTCAAACTAGGATTCTTAGAAGCTACTCAACCCTAAACCCTAATTTATGCCTATATAAAGGGTACTAAATTCTCTTAAAAGACATCTCAAAAATTTCATAAAGAGATCAAATTTCAAATACTCAGCAAATTGATGGATTATTCATATAGAGATGTCAAATATAAATCATCATAGTTTGAGAATACACCACTAACAGCCATCGAATCATGGATAAATCCATAGAATCAAGGAATCAACAAAATTGTATCCGCTATCTTGATGAATAAAATCATGTTTCTTCAGTTTTTCTACTTGTGTGGTTTATTTATTTTCCATATATTTAAGATTTGTTGCAAACAATTATAAAAATAGATATCGTATCTACTAAATTTCAGTATATATATATATATATCATGTTCCATAGATTTAAAGTATGCACAACTTTGAAACTCATTTAAAATTATCAAACAATGAATTGTTGAAAGGAAGATATATAGCAGACAACCAATAACTTATAGGAAAAGAACATTTTACCAAAAATGAGAAACTATTTACAAGGATTATCCTTTTTCTGTCATATCTCATATTTTTAATTACTTATAATTCATATTTATTGTTTGATATAATCAAAGTATATATACTTTGATGATATTAAAGAGGAAGAAGAGTGCTTTAGTGAAAACACTTCTTAGTTATATATATACTCTAATGATATCAATGAGGAAGAAATAATGTTTTAATGAAAAGACTACTTGATACTATCATAGCCTATAAAAAAGTTGTAAATTGAAGTTGGAGGAAAGTTTTGGAAAATGTTTTCCTTAAGTTTTGAAGGAAAATCATTTTTCTTGAATTTGAGGAAAATGAGTTGATTTGAAAAACATTTTATCCAACCAAACATGAGACCGGTTGAAAAATATTTTCCTTCATACCAAACACACCCTTAATAAGTTCATTTTATAAGCAAAAAAAAAAATCTATTAATTAGGGTCATAAATAAGTTTATTGATTTCAATAATAGGGAAAATTACGCGGTTAAGCGGACTTAAATTAATTGATTACTCTTCATAACTATATTTTGTTATAATTACCACTCATTACTAACACTAGACATTAATTATGTGCGCTGACTTCGAGTTTGTATATGTATAATTCCCCAGAATATACAAATACATATATATAATACATAATTATTTAATCAATATACATATAATCTTCTTCCTCTCTCGCTCGCC